TGTATCCTTCTTCTCAAAGTAAGCAAGTTTAGGGTGTCATTTTGTTTGTGTCAAAGTTTGAAGCGTCCAAATTGTAAGTGTCTTGCAAGAGTCGTTTGTAAGTCTTGTCTAAGTTGTAATAGTTTTTATATTATAAAGTAAAGATGTTGTTTTTAGTTTATTTGTCTTTTTATATGTCTTTATTTTGTAGTTGTCTAGTGTCTTTTTGTGATAAAAAATTTGGGTCCCTCCCCCAAATTTTTGATTGCATCACTTAATTATAATAATTTTAATTAAAATTAAATATAATTAATTATAATAATTAATTAAAAATAAATAAATAAATAATTAATTAAAATTAATTAAAACAATTATAATAAAATATTTAAAAACATTTTTTTTTTAATTTCTTTCGGTCCGGCGGATTAAAAGGATTTGACCGGATTTAGGCTAAATCCGGCCAAACGGTTTCAGTGCACGCGTTAAATCCCGGCGATGGTCAAATCCCGGATTAAGGATTCGCGGCTTAATCCCGTATTTACTGAATCCCTCAGTTCGGTGGATTTCGGGGATTCGGCCGAAGAAGAACGCGAAAGGTAGAAAGTTACCTTCTCCACAAGCTAGCTCCCGTCCCTTCTTGCGATCGGACACGAAGGGAAAGTTGTCGAACGAGCAAAGTCGACCGGCCACGATGGGACCGAAGCAGCGATCGGAGGTAGGGCTTGGTTTCTTCCTCTCTCCCTCCCTCTCTCTCTCTATCTCTCTCATGGGATCCGGCCGAAGGGGGTGCGGGAAGGGAGAAAGTTAAGTTCACAGCGAGCTCCTGTCCCTGCTTCATATCTAAACGTCGTAACTTCCGATCCCACTGGAAGCGTCGTCGAAGAAGCGAAGTCGCACAGCTACGCAGGAGTACGGGACAGAGGGAGTTCGGTGTTGGGAGGCGAGTTCGGCACAACAAGGTAAGAGCTCGGTTCCCTCTTTCCTCTCTCTCTCTCTCTGATCGGAAGGGAATGGGAGGCAGCGACGGGAGTTTTGCTGGGGAATTCGCGTGTGAAGAGCGGCCAAACGAGAGGGATTCCGTCTCATTTTAAAGACGCGATCGAGATGAGCGGGAGATCGTGAGGACTGTTCGATGTTGTTTGCAGAGCAAAGGAATGGGCGACGGGACTGTAGCGGCCAGAGCAGCGATTTGGGTGAGATTTTGCCACAGGTAATGATTTTGAGCCCTTTTTTTTTATTTCATTTTGTCTGTTTCCTTTGGCTCTAGCTCACAGGTCAACACATAAGTTGGAGGAACCATTATGATTACTGGACGGTCAGAGCAGGGGCTGCGAAGGTGGATTGAAGGAAATCACCTAAATCCTAGGATCTGCCAATGATTGAGATGACTGAGGAGATGTAGGGAGCAAAGAGATGGATGGTTGGGATGAGCAGCCCATAATAGTTGAGGAGATGAGTAGAAGAGATCTTGAATGAGGAAAAGAGAGCGCAATCTTGAGGGGATAGTGGAGGTCAGATATGAAAATTAAAGTCGGGCCATAGTTCAAGGTATATCATAGCTATAGGTGCAAGGCATAGGCCCTGGAAGCCCTGCAAGATGCAGATGACCCTGCACACGAGCAAAAATTGGCTCTGTTTGTCTAATAATTACTATAAAGGTATCTAAATTTTCACCTTGCTCAAATGATCTTTTGAACAAAACGAGACCATTGAAAAAAGTTCTTAACATTTATTTTGTAAGAAGTAATTTAAAACGGTGAGTGCGCCATGTTGGCTAATTAATTTGTGGTGAGGTTTGGTTAGGAGGGGGAGGATCCAACCTTCTCTCTATCTTTTGCTTAACCCAATCAAAGCCTTCTTGTGACTGTCGGCTACTTCCTTCAGTCGGGAATCAACTCTGATACCAGGTTTAAATATAATAGGAAATAAATAGATGGAAGTGTAGAAATAATTATTTTTCTGTTAAACTATCTAGAAGAAAGGCATAGGATTTTAATACAACCTGAGTGCAAGGATCTCTTAGAAAAAATACAGCAATGAATCTTAATTCTAGAAGAGAGATAATTTCAAAATCATCTAGATTTTTTACCGCAAGAATGAATTAAAATGCTACCAAAACAAGCTACATAAATAAGGAAGCTAGAATACACAAAATCATGAATGCAACTGGGAGATATCCATGGTTTTATGTACAATTAATTCTCTTTCATTCATGGCCAGCAGACATCAGAGATGCAGGAAATGGAAATACCATTGCCATCAATTTTCAAGCCACCTAAGTTTAATTTCAATAACCGTATCTTCAAAGATGTAATTCGAACTTTTTCTCTCACACAAGCATTCCTAATTTTGCCATACATCAATCTTAACCTTTTTATTTTTGCTTCACTCAATCTAAACATCAATGAATTTCTTGTTGTCAGCACTCAGATCAATAAAACTTTGACAGCTTAATTACTATTTTTTTGAGTCTTTTGAGCAGCATGCATCTTCTTTCATGACTTCTGTAATTATATTTGTCATTGTTGTTTAATGCAGGTAACTAGGAAGTACTTTTTTCATCTTTGCACTGACTATGCATATGAATTGCATTGAAACTAATGACATGAAGTGAAGTTTTTTTCAACCATGTGCATGAAAAAGCTATTAAAAGATGTAATTTAGTGAAAAACTGTCTCTTTACTTCTCTAACTCTAGCTAATGGAAGAATATGTTATATTTTTGACCATATATAACTTAAATGAGTTTTTTAACCATCATATAAGTTCTATGGCTAGCATTTACAATCATATAATTATTTCATGTGGAGTTTCTTCTTGATGGAAGTATTAGTTTTCTCCGTGATATTACCTTGTTTCAGAAATTGCTTTCAGTAGATTTTATAATTAGCATTCTTTGAGGCAAACTTCGTACTTCCTTCATATCTTTATAGCTTTTTAAGTCTGTACTTTAATTTGTGTTTTGTTAACTGTTTTTTAAGCATTTCATTTGGTATTATTTCTGATTTTTCTTGTCTTGCTGGATATTCCTCCAGAACTTGTGGAAACATCTACAAAGATGGTGGATGTGTATTGTAAAAACCTTGTACTTTCAAGTGATCTGGATCCTCAGGAGAATATGCACGGTGAAGAACTGTTACAAATGGCTAGCAGCGCTCTTGTTATGGTCTGTAACCCTGCCTTTCAATATAGTCATTTCCACAGTGCTGTTAGTATTCTACTAAAAGGAATTTGTTGAAATTGCTAAAAGCTCACCAGTTGTTAAATTACGAGAACTATCAGTCATCCTATGATATGTGAAAGATACTGCTGTATTTGATATTCCGTTTAGTTTTTCATATCTGTTGATAGTGTAAAAGTGGATAAGTCATTGATTGTAGTCAAGCTCGGAGAAACAAGGTTGTCATTATACTCAAAGATTGTGTGTATAAAAGGTGGGCAGAAGGCTGAATATTTAATTGGATTTTTACTTTTCCACCACCATAAATTTGATGAATTGTTTAATGTACTTAAATGTTTCCTGTTTTCCACACAAAAGTACTTTGCCTTATGAGTATACTCATATATTGGCTTCATGCTGTCCTACACTCGGTTACAGATACTGCCACTTGTTTCTTACCCAATATTTTGGTGGATCCTTAAGTTGTTCATGGTTTTATAGCGTTACTGAGACGTTGGGTGGAAAGCAGCATTGATTAGTGTAGTTTTCAAGAACATCAGGATTCTGTGTAATGCTTAAGGCATGGTGGGCTTTTGGCTAACAAACAATGGATATATTTTTATTGCAATGAAAAGAGAAGGTGTTTTTGAACAAGGCTGGGTGGGAATTCTCTCTATAGAACAGTAGACAGTTAAAAGAGATTCAGGGGTCAGTGGCAGGTTGTTGTATCTTCCTAAGAGTTAATCTTTAGTACATCACAAGGCATGCAATTGAAAATTTTGAAGAATATCTTATATGTAAACAATTTAGATTTCCTCAATGAACTTTCCTGCTACACCAGCCATGCACAATCAAAGCGAATGCTTATGTGGAAGGTTTAGTTTCAGTCCTAGCTTAGCAATATGCAAAATGGAGCTTCTCCTCGTGCACTTTGTGAAGAAAGTTTTTGAACTATGCAAGGTTTTAATTGCTAGATTTATGGTGTTTATTTTGATGTAAGGTTTCATTTGATGTAAATATTCTGGTGTCTACTACAATTAGGAAAACTTGTGCCATGCAGTATCTTTGGGCTGTTTACCCCTACTTTCAATGTCCAAACTATTTCAAAAGTATAGCTGGTCTTCTGAAACATTGTTTTTGGGTGGGTGGGGGTTCAAAAACTAAGGTTAAGGCTCTGAAGTGTGGACTCATGTACCCAAAAATTAATGGTGATTATTTTATGATCATATATGGAATTTGAAATAGCACAAGTAAACATATATTTTTGTTAGTTTTTTTGTTCTTATTAAGATCTTGCTTAATCAACTTTCATTATCACACTTTAATCGTCAGATGAGTTAACAAACCATTGACCTAGATTTCAATATGAACTGAGGACCCAATCAACTTGATTTGATCGTACTTATGGGCTGGGTTTATTCGCAAAGCATTCTTCTTGATTTACACTACTTAGGTTGTAGAAAAGATGTTTTTTATATTTAAGATGAATCATGGGCTATTTCGTTGAAGTTAGCACCAAGTAATGGAATTTTTATGGGAATTAATACAATGGGGTTCCATACCAGAAGTTATTGAAAATTGGGTGGTTTGGTAATAAATCCATATTGTTAATTGGTATAATAATAAAGGTTCCATTTTAAATATATATTTTTTTTGCAAAGAAGACATGAAAAACGCACCACCCAAATTTCAGAAATATTAGAAATTGTATTCTCATGTTCTTCTGGAGAACTATAAAAATTTGTTTCACTCTTATGATATCTTCCTTAAGTATCTCAAAATCTATGGTTGCATAAAAGATCAAATGTGTATATAACTAATTAAGTTTGGATAAATTGGACTTTGATTTGCATTCCTTTCAATGAAAGTTGTGAGAATATGATTGACTTTAGCTACTTTAGCACCTAAATGAAAATAAATATTTTTATTTTTATCATAGTACTAACAAAATGGAAATTGTAGGGGTTAAAAAAATGAAGTGTGGAAAAGCAGTAGAAGTTGATGCTATTTAATAGAAGGGTAGAAATGCTTAGGAGATTAAGGAATTTCTTAGTTTATTAAACTCTTTAATATTATTTTGAAGACTCAAGATGCCGGATGAGTAAAGAAAAGTGTGTTGATTCCTATTTTTAAGAATAAATGTGATGTACAAGAGTGAGGGTTATAAAGGAATTGAGTGAATGTGTCATACATTAAAAATGAGAGAGAGTAGTTGAGCATAGGTTATGATGTGATACTAATATTTCTCAAGTTTAAATCTACTCGAATACACTTAAATGTAAAAAATTACACTTTTTATTGAAAAAATATTGCCATTTATTATGCCATGTCTTGAGAATGAGTTTGGGTTACTATTTTATGTATTTTGGTTTTTATTATCTCTAATTTAGTCGGTACAGTTTTCGTATTCATACCATAACATCTTTTTTTTTTTTTTTTGCCATCCTCTGTGTACAGGGCTTCTGAGTTGCTTGGCTATATTTTATTTCAATCTTGTGATGCTTTTTTAGATATAACCATGTTAATATAGTTCTTTGCTTAAATTTCTTGGTTGTTATATTTCATTTCAATCTTGTAATGCTGTTTTAGCAGTAACAATGTTAAAATAGTTCTTTTGGTTTAATTTACCTTGCTTGTATCCTACATAAACATCAGTTTGTCCGCCAACTTTTAATTAGGATAATCTAGTACTCTTACTCATGTTTTAATGCATGTGTTTAAACCTTGTCCTTTTTTATACTGAATTACTAAATTAGAAAATGAGTTGAACATGTATCTATCAATCTCGGCACAATACCAATCTTGTATTATTCGTTGCCTTCTGCTCCAATAGCACCATACAAATTTAAGTGATTTCCTGGAAGTAATTTCTGTTATATCCTGAGGCAGAAGCAAACCTATACCTTTCATTATTGGGATATTTATTTCAAATATCATAGATTATATTACTAATTTAAAAATATTAACTGCACAACATGATCTGCATGCGTAAAAAAACCTATGGGCTTTTTGGAGTATTCCTTTAAATGTCTTCTGAGTGATCTTAATCCTATATCATTATTTTTTCTCCATTGCGTTATTATTGCAAGTAATTGCTTGCATTGTGACACTATCAAGTCTTATTCCCATCTAGTGGCATGATGTTATTATGTGATTTAATTCTTTTTAGACCTTAAAATCTTTAACCTAAGATGTTTTATGCAGCTTTATTGGCGTACAAGGTGCTATGGGTACTTACTAGAGGCACTTCTAGTTTTGGAGTTTGGTTTGAACATTAGAAAGTAAGTTTCATGAGCCTTGAATGTCTTTTTTGAACATTTGTGCTGATTTGTTGACTATCTTCATCTTAATGAAAATTCCATATCTTTACTCCAAAAGGAAAGGATGTTTTTTATTGAAATGTTTTTAGGATAATTTATAACATGGAGAAGTTATACTATTTTATTAAGCAAGTTTTAAGTTTAATTAGAAAGTTATATTATAAAAAATACTTGACATCTAGTGCTTGACTAAGCTAAGTGTTGCGCTAGAAAACAACTAGTTGTTTTATTCAATAAACTTATTTCAATAATGATGAATAATTTTGAAGACAACTGGTTGTTTTATCCAATAAACTTATTTCAGTTAAGGTAGAATAATTTTGAAGAGTTTAAATGATAATCATCACTTGACATAATTTTGAGCTCTTTAGTAAAAGGCCTTTTCAATTGAGTTCCAAGTAGGTTGACTAAAAGAATACTAAAAAAAAAAAAAATTGGATAAATGTTCGTTTCAAAGACCAAAGAGAACAAACACAATGCTTGCCAAAACATCATGTCATTTATGAAACTGAAAAAAAAAACTTATGCTCATTTTGGTCTTACTTTCGTTTTGTTTTGTCTGTCTCTCGCTTGCAAACTGAACTCCGTCCTTCAGCCCCAATCCACCACAACACCATCTCGTGCGCTTGTGCCTTCCTTCTTTCATGTGATTGATCCCACCTCTCACACCAATCCCAAAGCCCGTGGTATCTCTATCCGATCCCATTGTCCCTATTCGCACGCAATCAACTTGCGCCGATCAACCCTTCCGATGCCCCAACATGCTCCATGTCACTTCTATTGTCCGATCAAACTCCTTATCTTACTTGACACCTTCATCCGGTCACACCAACAAGCACAAACAGGCTCGCGATCACAACCTACCCCCACAAGTGACACACTCACGTGACCCTTATCACACAAGCCGATTGCACTTTGTTCATGCGGATTCGTTCGGTCTACACATGCCTAGCCCTCGCCTGCCTGATTTCTTCATGCTCTAAACGTACACGCCTACTTGTGAATTCTCCCACTACAATTATCCGATTCATGAATATTTTGTCAGTTACAACAATTCAAATTGCTCCTCCTGTATCAAGCACACATGACGACTCCAATCGAATTATATGGATTCATATAATTAAACATAAATTGTCGTATTATCAAAGAAAAGTCTTTTATTCTCTAAAATAAGTAGATATGTATTTCAATCTGAATACTTGCACCATTGATCTTTGATTTGGGCTGGATGAATTTTCAATTTCAAGACCTTGCACCTTTGATTTTTGATGTGAGCATGACGAATTTTCAATTTCAAGGCCCTACGCCGTTGATCTTTGATCCGAGCAGGTAGAAACCACGATAAACGCCGTCTCGACCTCCCCTAGCTCGGAAGGGATGCCAGTAGGTTGCATAAATCATCTTGGGAGGTTGTCATATTCTCTTTTGGGGATTGAATGCTAGGTTCTTCTGATCCGGTGCAGTATAATGGAATTGATCTCTTACACCTTTAGATTACAATTTACCCTTTTAATGTTCATGCAAAGCGCGCAAGAGCCATCAATTATTTTGCTTTATGTTTGTTTGCTGTATTGCACTTGGTTTACAAAATGAATGGCCTCAACTGTGATCAAATGGACGAATTCAACTTACACCAAAAAGTAAAGATAACTGGCTTTTTGTTGGCCTTGTTGTGGTGTGAATACAATAATTCGGAGGTAGAAACCGAAGACTCTCTTCATGTATAAAGAATAGTTATCGGTGTTAAATTATATTTGGGATGCTTTTTTCTTTCATTGTTTGAAGAAGAGAGATTTGTTGAGGGTTCATAAGAGGGGACAAGAGGAGACTTGCCCAAAGGAGGAAGGAGTCGGGCCCAGATAGAGTAAGGTTAGTAATTTTGCTTGAATCTCTCATGATAATCTCTCATATTTTAATTGACTTGAAATTAAAATAGATATACACAGATTGATTTAGCTGGCCTATTAAAAATGACTTGCATTCAACTAAAAATTAACTTGATATATAATAGATTTATATATTTGTGATTGTTTATTATTGAGAGTTCCACACACATACATGTACATATTTATATATATCTATGCATATGCATATACATACACACAAACACACACTTACTCACATATATATGCATAATATTTAATTATTCATGGTTATAAATACTTTTTTAATAGTAACTAATAGACTTTAATGGATTCAACTTTAAACTTGATTCAAAATCGATCTGTTTTAGCTTGACTAAAACTTCACTCGAGTCGAAATTAATATATTTGATTTCCAATTTTGTGTGGCATGCTTTATTGAGCTAGAATCACCTGTGTAACGCCTTGTTTTAATGCTTTCTCAATGAACGATGAGGTGTAGCAAAGATGGATAATTTTGGAAGACGCATTTTTCACCAACACCTATACTGATTTTACTAATCCATATCGAATGAGTCAAAAATAGTTTGGCTAGATCATTACAAAGTAATATCTCAGTTAGACCGGTCCTCCCTGGACCGGTCCAGCCGACCCAATCCAGTGGGCCGGTTCGTTTTTACCGAAGGAGGGGGCGGGCAGAACAGGAGGCGGAAGCCGCATGAGGGCTAGAGGTGGGGTCCACTTGAAATTCAAGTTGTTTCTTGGAGCCAAAATGAGGGGAAGTGAGGGCAATTAGGTCCTTTTGTATCTATTTTGAATTGTATGCATTAAGTAGGGAGTAAAGGGGAGGTTTAGGGTTATGTTGAATTTGCTTGAAGTTTTTCTTGTTCTTCGTTGGAGGCTAGGCTCTAGATCGAATTCTAGAGATTGGGAGAGTGCGGTCCTCCTCTCGAATAGAGGATCCTTGTATCTTTGCTATTTTCCTTGCATCTACTAGTAAAATACAAGTCTTTTCTCCTATTTTCTCTCAGTTTTTCCCTGTTTTTCCACTGTTTTGGGCTGTTTTTCTTCTGCGGACAGCAGTTTGCGCGGAGAGTTGTTGTGAAAGTGAATAGGAAATACTTGAAATCAAGTATTTCCTATCAATCTCATCCTTTAATAGATTCATCATACTTATTGATATGAAAGTGTGCATAATTTAAATCATTAAAATAAACTATTGAGTTTCACTTTCATAGAAAATTTATACATATTAGAATTCTTTAATTCTCATAATGTACATTATTTTCTATGTTATATCCTAAAATTGAACATTCCTCCATAACATTAGCGTATTAGATAAGTTGGGTCATCTCTCTATGATCCCATTTTCTCTTTTCTCTTTTTTGAAAAATAATAATATAATATTTGTTGTGTTAAATGCTCAGTGAGATAAATATTTTTGATATAAGATTCAAACATAAAAGAAAAAAAGCTAAAATATGTATGTTGATCCTTTGAACTAATATGAGTATTTGATTATGGATATAACTAATTTAGTACAATAATAAACATTAAAGAAAAAAATTTCTGGCATTTAAATAAATAAAAGACTTAATATTAAGCAATAGCATGAGTATATGTAAGAATATGAAATGCATTTATCAATTTTTAAATTATGGAGTGTACATTACTTATTAATGATTTGCTCATCTTTATTTTCATCTTGGGTCATTAATTCTTTAAAAATATTATATAATGCCTAGTCTTTTGGCACATTTATATTATTAGTCTTCATTGACGTCGGCTTTTGAAGACCACTAATAAAGTTTGGACATTCCAGCGTGGCAATTATGAATGACCCCTTGATACCGATCTAACCACTCCAACTTTCTAATATCAAGTGTTTGTAATTCTTCGTAGTATCAATGGCCCCTCGATCAAGGTTTAACTTTATAGTATCAACTTCCTATGATCGAGATTTGGGAACTTTACTTTTTTTGTTCTTATGAAGACTCGTTTCGCCAAAACTTTTGCCTCTTCGTGCAAGTTATCATAGTCTACTATTCTTGTGCAAGTTTTCATAGTCTGCTAACATATGCCATATGATATAACCTTTCATTAAATGCCTACAATTTAATCTCATTGTCATCAATATTTTAAATTTGTTTAGCATGAATATTCACCTATTATTAATTAATCTATTATTTATTTAACGTCCATCATGGTTAGGACTTAGGCTTAGGCATGATATGTGAAAGTCAAAATTTATGTGTTAAATAAAAATTAAACATTCTTGATTAAAAATATCTCGAGTTTTTTAAAATAGGTGATCCTACAAAAATTTATTAGACTTGTTAAATTTTTATGTCATACTCCATCTGAAGTGACATCTACTTGCATATAGCAATACAATAAAATTATAGAATTTAACAAATTTTAAGTCCCAAGCATGGTATGCTCCCTATATTGGAGATTGAGTATATAACCTAAATTATAAAATCTTCTTTGGGAAAGTTTCATAATCTAATTTATCAATTATGTAATTAACTATCCTATAAGCTATTCCTATCATCAATTTGTTGATTTATCATTTTATGGCATGGAATTTTGGAAGATTCTATTTTTTGCTTAAACAACATTACATTTTGGAAGATTCTTTTCTTGTATAAATTTCCAAGTTAGCTTGAATTAAATTCCAGAGCAAAATCATGATATGAAGCTGGTGTAATATTGCCTTTTCAGTAAAGTTTTTGCAGTCAGTAAAGTTCTGGTGCATTCGAGGTTGTAATATTGCCACTTTTTGTTATTCTACTGCTCATTTTTTTGTTTTTAACTTTAGTACCTTAAATTTATAAATGAGCCTGGAATATTTATCGTTCAACTTTTGCCTCAACATACAGCATTTTCTCCCATCGGTCATGTCTTTTTTTATTCAATACTGTTGAGTTATTGTGCAGTCTTGGTCATCTATGTTTGTAATAGAACTAGGACCACATTTTAGTTTCTGCAATCACTCTCTTTCGTTCTACCTAATAATCAGCATATATGGCTTTGTTTGTTGTGCAGATATGTTTGGCAATACAAATTGTCTTTGGTGCATTTATATTCATACGTTAATGCACTTCCGTTGGCATACGAATGGTAAAAGTTTTCAAAATATCAAACAGCAACTCAGCTGATTTATCTTTTGTTAATAGTTTCTAGAATGTTGTATAGCTGTGAGCCTATGACATGTCCTTGAAATGCTGCAATCTTATTTTTGTTTTCTTGTTCAGGTATGGTACTCTGGATACAAAAAACATATTATTGGAGACTGTATCCCATCATATTATGCCCCAGTTGTTTGTATCACCCCTTTGGTCAGAAACCTCTGCTCTTCTGAAAGATTATCTCAAGTTTATGGATGATTATTTAAGAGAAGCTGCTGATCTTACTTTTTTGGCATATCGCCATCGTAATTATTCCAAAGTAAGATGCTTTTTTCCATCTATTTTGTGATACTTAGTTATTACTTACCCAAATAGATCATGATTGCTATGTCAAAGTTGTTTTTCTGTTTGAAACTGAATGATAACCAAATTTGTTTTGTTAATGCTGTGCCTGATCCTTTACATCAACATTGTCTTATTTTTTTTTTCCAGCAAGCAAGAATCAAACTGAAACCTTTGATTTGTTGCTCATTTCCAACCTCATATGGCTTTGTATTATGATAAACTGATTACATTGACATAATTTAGATGGCGTTTGCTAATGATTGATGGAGTTACCTTTGAAACTGCATTCCCTGTAAACTCTGCTTTGCTGAATTTATTTCATTCAGAAATTGAAAGAATCATAGTTGTTGAATTCTATGTCCCTTATTTTCCCTCTTCCATTAGTGTGATTCAGCTATATAACTGGATCTTGTGTTGGATAAGTTTCTTGTAATCATGTTAACATAATTTTCTTGGAAGAACGAAAAGAAATATGTGATTTATATTACTATGCTTGAGGTAGAAATATTTGTTGATTTTTGCTCTACAAATGAGTGATCTTGTGCATATTTGATTCACTCAATTTGGGTTGGGTGAATGTGGGAATTTCCTACAACTTTTGAGTTGAATAAAGAGGGATTTCTCCACATTTTTGGTTTGTAGAAAAGAGAGGAGAGAATCCAACTTATGGGTTGCAAACCCATGAATGTCCTTGAACTTTTGATGTTCAAAGAAAACCATTCATTTGTCATATTCGGTGCTATGCAAATGAAGGAGGATTTGGTGGTTTTCCTGCAATCCTAATTTATAGAAAATAAGGAAGACGATGCAACTTGGAGGAAGTTCTTTGAATATTTGATGTTCAAAGAAGAGTTATTATCTACCCAATTTGTTTTGGGCAAGTACAAGAAAGTGGCATGTAGATTTGGATTACGAGCTGCCTGAATTTCTTTGAACCTTTTTGGTGTTCAAAGAGAGGAATTCACCTTTCCAATTTGGATTGGATGGATGGAGTTGAGATAAAACTTTGATTCCTATGCTTAGGTAGAATTTTTTGTTGATTTTGGCTCAACAAATAAATAATTTGGGTGTATGTTTGATTCACTTGACATAGGTCAAGTGAATGTAGGAATTTCCTACAACTTTTGAGTTGTTGGAGATAGGAGGAATTTTCTATAATTTTGGTTTGTAGAAAAGTGGGAGAGGAACATGCAACTTAAAAGTTGCAAATTCATGAATATTTTTTTGAACGTGTGGTGCAAAAAGAGGTGCACACTCTCCTAATTTGAGTGAGGAAAATAAGAGAATTTTTAACAACTTGAGTTGTAGAGAGAGATGCGATATGCAACTTGGAGGTTGCAAATTGGAGGATGAATCATTGAATTTTATCTTCAATGAAGCAAAATTATTTACCCAATTGAGTGTTGGGTAAATATGGAAAACAATGTGCAACCTATAGGTTGCAACTTGGAGGAATTTCTTTGAGTATTTGGTGTTCAAAGAAAGAGACATGCACTCACTCAATTTAGGCTAAGTGAATGGTGGAGAAGACTAGGATTTGGATCCTATGTCTAGGAGGTTATTTGTTGGTTTCGTGTCCCAACAAATGAGATGGGAGGACTTGGAATTTGTCTCCAAGCTTAAGAATTTGTGGCATGATGGATGTAGGATTTTAGAGAAATCCAAAACATCATGCAAGCAAGGTTGATGATGACTCCTAAGATATGCTAAGGATTCGTGTGATAAAACATTTGGAGTATTCTATTAAGAATACTCCAAGCATCATGCATGAAGGAGATGGGTGATGATTATTTGTTGATTTGGTATCAACAAATAAGATGAATACTCGAGACTTTGAAACCTCTATACAAGTTTCGTGGCAACAAGGGAGGAGATCATTCGTTGGTTTCTTGCTCCAACAAATGGGATGAGGGAAACTTAGAGTTTGGCTCTAAGGTGTGATGGCTCACGTGGTGCTAGCCCAATCCTAGACACTCTAAGATCCTTTTTCAAACTTTCTCCTCCCATTTTGAGTAAAGAGATAGATAAATAAATACATCCCGTTGCATTGATCGGGGAGTGCTCGTACTAACTGAGGGGGTCAAAAACCAAGAAGTGAGTTATTTATACCAAGCAAAATGCTTGGAGCCTTGAGGAAGCTCCAAAATCTCACACATGAGGGGAAAGAGCATCAAAAGATAACCCCTGATGTATGCTAGAACTCATGCAACAAAATACTTGGAATCTTGAGGAAGCCCCAAGCGTCATGCATGAAAGAAATGTGTACATGAGAGAGGGTTCCCGACCTATTGCTTGTATGAATGTTTTGGATTCATTTTAAAGTAGGGAAGGTTTACTTCTACAACTTCTATGGGTTTTTAAGATCAATTTTGACATGATCTATAAATCCTAGAAATGTATGCATGTGATTCATCATTCTGGGGGATTTACCATATACTCGAGTTACACGTCATTGCATTTGACCTTTCCATTTGCAAATTATACTTATCATACTTAGGTAATTTTGATATGTGGTGGAGTATGATCCATAGACCTTTAAAAGTCATGGAATGCACCACCTCCGCTTCACAAGTGTTTAGAAATTAAATGAGCATGCTTATAAATTAATAAAATCAGGTAAACGACTAATTAGCAAAAGACTCAACATTATGTCAAAATGCTTGCACAATTCTAATACAAGATAGAACATAGCCTAGGAATCTTGAAAATTCATAAGATATATCACATTAGTTCAAATAGTATTTAAAATTGCACAGGCATACCTATTTGTTTTGTAAATTTTAGATGAATTACAAACCCAATGAATGCAAGTTGCCGCATTAGATCAATTTTGTCAAGACATTAGCATGGGGGGAGCACGACCTACAATGCAAGGAAACCTACACTTAGAATGCAAGCAGATAGAGTCGTACGGCTCCATCCGTCTCACTTTCTCTGGCTAGGTTTGACACACGCGAGTATGAGGAAGAAGACCTCAGTTCCTCAGTCGCACTAGCATGTAGGCGGAAGACTCCTCTTCTTCTGTTGGGCTGGGAGGACTGCACAGAAGCATGACGTCCCGAATCCCTTCGTCTCCCGCTCGATTTTGGCTTACGAAACATGCATGATTTGAATGACCCCCTCCTTCTAGCTCTTGCTCTCTCTATATGCAAAATCAGATACTTCTTTGTCCAATGCAATCCTTTGCCATAATATCCTGACCTTCCATCGCAGAAATCATGGGGAAAAGATGCTGTAGCGGCGACCTTTGAATCTCAGCCCTTAGATTAGATTTCCGGATTTAGCGAAATGATGAGAAATGGCTAGGAAGTTAAAAGACCTTATTTGGAATGAAATTTGAACCTGGATTGGGCTCGGTCCTAACCAATTTGGGTCGATTTAGGTTAGACCGGGTACGATTGAGCCAATTTTGTGAAATTGGACTCGAATCGGCGTCGATTAATGTCAAATTTCGTTCGATTAGGCTTGATTGGGTTCGATTTGGCCCGATTTGGGTCGGTCTCAGTCGATTTGCGAAAATATACGTCAACATGCTAAATCAAACATTTCCTGCCTTTACGATCTTACCTAAAGTAGTAATAAAGATCTTTGGTTGCTTTTTCTTTGTTTACAACTAGAATAAAAGTATAAAAATAAAAAAAAAAACAGATCCTATGGCATGACAATGCTTTTTTTTTTTTTTTTTGAGTTAAACAGCAGCAAAGAGGGGGCATAAATGTTTTTAGCTTATTTCAAACAGATTATTTATTAAATGTATCTTTCTTTGAAATGTAACTTTTCCAACCTCATCTTCAAGGGGAGCAACATCAAGAACATTTATTTTTCTAATTTTTTTTTTGAATTTTTGCAACAAAAAATTTCGTTTTCTCTAATTTTCAAAGTGATTTCATTCAAATCAGACTCATTCATACAAAAAGAATTGATATTTTAAATACTACAAGCTCAGCAAGGCCATAGGTAAATTTCTTAGAGGATCATGAGTCTGTCAAAGAAAAGAGGAGGTGCAAACATGGAAAGATTTTTTTGGATTATTTTACTTATGACGACAAACAAATAAAGAAAAGAAGTTTGAAGGTTCTTTGCTAGGTCATGGATTAGATTAGTCTATAGCAAAACCAAATAACACTATGTATTTTTAATACCCTATTACTAGAACTACTAAAATTCATCCAATGTCAAAATGTATCCTACAAAAAAAATTTCGCCTTCATTTTTCATCTTTATCTCTCACTTTTCCATTGTAGTGATTCCAAAAATAATATAGGAGTTTTTCTTGGTTATAGAGTGGAAGGATAATGTTTTTGAGGAGATGAGAGCACTTCGAAAATAAGGCTTTGGTGTTGGTGGATCCACCAAGTGGAAAGAAACCGGTGGCATATGATTGGGTCTTCATCGTAAAGTTCAAATATGATGGAACAATAGTGGCATACAAGGCCCGAGTAGTTGCTGAATTGTTTACTCAGATGTATGGTATTGATTACATATTTGCACCAATGGAAAACACTAAACAACTTTAGAATCTTAGTTTCGATTATAGCTAATATGGTATTGATTACATATTTGCACCAATGGAAAACACTAAGCAACGTTAGAATCTTACTTTCGATTATAGCTAATCTTGTCTGGCCGTTACAGCTACTTGCTTTCTTTCTCGTTAGAGATATAGAAGTTTATGTGTGATCCTCTTCAGGGTAATGGAGAAAATTTTTGCTTGAAAGTGTGTCAGTTGAACAAAATCTCCTTATGATTTAAAATGATCACTGAGGGCATGATTTGAGGAATTCTCTTGAGCTGTAAAAAAATGGGGCTACAACTAGGCTCAAACTTACCATACTATGTTTATGAAGTAATCAAAACTATGTAAAATAACTATTTTGATGGTTTATGCGGATGAAATTATCTTAATAGGTGACGATTTCATTAAGATAAACTGATTGATGGAAAGTTTGGCCTTTGAAATTGAGATCATATGCATAGGGGATCTTAATTTTTTTTCATGGAATATTGATTACAAGATCAAATAAGAGATTGTGGCAACTGGCAAGTCAAAGAAAATGCATCTTAGATCTTTCCAATGAGATGGTTTGAGCGAGTGGAGATCTATGGATACATCGATAAATTCAAATGTAGAATTCAGGAAAGACAAAGGGAGAAACTATTGACGCCACTTGATATCAAAAATAGGAAAGCTGATATACTTATTTCACACATGACCTCATACAGCCATTGTCATGAGTTTTGTGAGTCAATTCATGCACTCTCTTAAAGAAGTAATATCTTGAGGTTACCAATTGAATTTTGTGATTCCAAAAAAAAAAATCTCATATAAAGTCTTATTCTTCCAAAAAAAAATGCAAAGAGGAGTTGAAGTGTATACACCAAGATGATTAGGTAGGTTCTACTGCAAATAGGACTTCAACAAACGAATGCACCTATTTAATGGGCTATTCATGTTACTTGGTGAAATAAGAAGTAGAATATGGTTGCTTGTGGCAGTGTAGAAGCAAAATATAGAGCCATAGCTAATGGGGTTCATGAGTTCTTGTAGCTAAAATAGGTTCCAAATAAATTGAAGAAGCCAGTAAGCTTGCCAATGAAATTATATTGGCATAACAAGGAATAAGCGCAGCTCAGAACCCTGCACAACGTGGAAAAGACAAACATATTGAATTTAGCGACGCTTCATAAAAGGAAAACTTTAGATCAGACTCATTTTTATGTCATTTGTTCCAACATCACTCTGGACAAAAACATTTTTAAAGGATTATTTAAATCCAATTTTACATTACTAATCATGTTGGGATTGATTGAGATCAACTCGCCAACTGAGGTGGATTGTTGGAAACTATGACAGGAAAAGAAGGCAAAATGCTGATTCAAAAAGTAAAATAAAAGAAGCAATTGCAAACTATGAAAGGTCAGTGCTGTCTTAGTAGAAAATGAGGAAGAAAATGAATGCCTTGATTTTTTCCAAGGAGCAAATCTGAAAAAAAATAAAGGATTGGTCTGTCTAGGAACCACGACATGTAGAAAATGAAAACATGGAAGTATTAGAGCTGACATTCAGCTATACTATTTAGATTCTGTAATTTTGTGTAGTAGGAAAGATAGTTAGGGGGTGTAATAGGTTTCTAACATTGTGCATTAATCTTTTTTATGTAGATTTCATGTACAGCCATGCAATTAGATAATAAATAAATAATATGGTCTCAAATTTCAACAGACAATCAGTTTTTAGAGCAGATGTATATTGGGAACTTTATCCCAAGTGTTTATTTGAGGTTGACTTTCTGCTTGCCGTTATTTCTAATATCAGGATTGGTTAATCATTTCTTTGGTTCTGTGCTTTATCATGCAACTCCCTTACTCCAATTAGTAAGTCTCCCATTTCAATAAAATTCATGGAATCTTTCTTTCATCAACTAGCAGACTTGTCCCAACTTTCTAGGATTGGCTATTCATGAAGCTCCGGATGCATGGCAGCTATTTTTAGGTTAATTTTTTATTGTTGTGCAGGCTTGTCCCAACCATTTGTGGTCAGCTTTGCATTATCATCATCATCTGAAAAGAGCAATCTCAACTTTGTCCCAACTATTTGGTGTTGACTGCTGGTTACAAGCTAAATTGAATTACTTAAGAATGATTTATGCTATTCAATTTCTACCGTGATTACAATGCTCAGCAGTTTGCATATGTGCAAGCGTTTTTGGCTTGTTGTATAATCTTTCCATTGTACATGGTCAGGTGATTGAATTTGTTCAATTTAAAGAGCGCTTAGAACACTCAAATCAATATTTGGCTGCAAGAATTGAATATTGGATTTTACAACTGAAACAGGAAACAAATACCCTTGAAGAAGCCGAGGTAATGTACTTATTTCTTTCAAGAGTTTAAGCTATCTTGACTTTGTTGTGGGGGTCCTGTGCGCCATATTTTTCTTCAATGAGAACTGAAGTTGAAGTTCTTTTTTAGCTTTTTTTTTTTTCTCATAATCGTAGCAGTTACCGTGACACAAAGGAAAAAGGTTGTTTTGTTTGGTGTGTGTGTGTGTTTTTCCTGGCTTGGTGGCATTGGGGCGGTTTTTGTGTTTGGGGTTGGGGGCATGCAGGGGAATGGTTTACAACATTTCCTCTCTGAAAAATCTCAGAGGAGCTCTTAAAACAATTGCTGTCAAGAGTGAATTCTTATTGCCATTAGTGGCCTTAAGCAACTGTTTTGTGTTTGTATGTTATGTATAAATGGATTCATAATTTTTTGTCTTCAAAATTACTATAAATATCTTAATTATTTTTGGATTGGCAATAAATTAATCAATCACACGACTTAGGTGATTAAGGTCACCTATCACAATATAAAGTCATTCTTGACCACTTTTGCATTTGGAGCTATTCCATAAAATTTTTCGTTGCTTAGCCCGGTTTTTTCCTTTACATAATCGTCATACCACTATCATATAAGCATAATGTTAAAAGTTCTCTTTCTTATGTTTGCAGTGTATTCTTGAAAAATTGTACCGTGGAATGCAATTGCTAGAGCTGTCAAGTGATGAGAAACTAAATTCCTTGACATTTAATGAAGATCTTCAGCTGCGACCTTGGTGGTCCCCAAGTTCTCATGTAAATTACCTTTCAGGTAGTTAAGCACCTTTGAAATAGTCAATCCTTTTTTTTTTTTACTCCAATTAACCAACGTTTTGGTTATAGATTCTTATCATGCTTCTTAATGGAAGCTTTAGACCTATTTGGTATATTTATTTTGATTGTATGTAAAATTGGGCTTTTGAACAGTTTTGTCTCTGAGGTGTTTTGATTTGCTTCTCCTTTCTTTACCTTGACAGAACCTTTTGATGGAGTATCAGCATGCTCTCGAGAGAACTTGGTATGTAATAGGATACATTGTGAGCCACAATTTTTAGTATACGCAAAAACTTTTGGCAAAAATTTTGATGAAACTTGTTTATTTTGTTCTGTATTTTGTATACCTTGTATGAAGTGTCAATGATCAATAACTTTATGAAAGATTTTCTTTCCCACTCTTGAATTTCGTGAGAAATTACACAGCAGGTTGAATTACGGTGCTATTTTTATTGCTAAACTATTTATTCCAAATTGTGTGGCTGTAATAGAAGTTTAATAGGAGCTTTTTTTTTAAGTTTGAAGGAAAATTAATGTTATTAATAGATATTATGATTCATAGGAAATTAAATATTTTGTGCATTCAAGAAACTAAATGGGTTCGAGAGAATGCTAACGAAATTAATAGTTTCTGATTTAAACTTTGGTATTTGGGTAGGAGTCATACTAGAAATGGTGTATGTGTTATTATAGATAAGAGTTTGAAGGATAATGTTATAAAAATTAATAGGATTGGAGATAGAATTATAGCTTTAAAGAATATTGTTGATGCTAAGATTGTTAATATTATAAGTGGTTATGCTCCTCAAGTAAGTTTGTATATGAGTTCTAAATTAAATTTTTAGAATGACTTGAATTAATACAAAAGATATCTCTTGAAGAAAGAGTTTTTATTAGGGGAGATTTAAATAGACATGTTGGTAGAGATGTAGATGATTTTAAAAACATTCATGGTGGCTATAAGTTTGGAACGACAAATGAATATGACAAGATCATATTAGATTTTTGTTTAGCTTATGATTTTTTAATTGCTAATATCTTATTTAAGAAAATGAATGAGCATCTTATCACTTATAAAAATAGATAAAGTACATCTTAGATTAACTATTTTCTTATAATAAAATTAGATCATTTAGATTGCCAAAATTTTAAAGTTATCCCAAGTGAATATTTATGTACCCAACATCGATCATTAGTTTTAGACTTTAAGATAAAGGGACATAAAATAAAAAATAAAGTAAAACTATATTCTAGGATTAGATGGGGGCATTTAAAGAATATTGATAAAAATATTTTTGAAAGTAGGATTTTAGATCTTAAGATTTTGTATGTGCATGAGGATATTAATATTATGTGAAAAAAAGTGACTAGTGATATTAAGAATATTGCAAAAGATGTGCTTGAAGTATCGAAGAGAAAAGCTCATAAAATAAAAATAGTTGGTGGTGGAATCCAAATATGTAAGAAAAGATTAAAAATAAGAAAATATGTTATAAAAATTGGTTTAATTTTTAAATTATGATAATTGAGAAAGATATAAAGAGACTCGTAAGGAATCTAAGAAAGTAATATATGATGCAAAAACCTTAGCTTTTAGTAATTTATATAATAAATTAGATACCAAGGAGGGAAAAAGATATATGTATAAGTTAGCCAAACAAAGAGATATGCGCCCAATTAATTGTGCAATTAATCCCCCCCTCTTATTTTGAAATTCAAATCTTAAGCTCAAATAAATCCCTCCAATTTCACTTAAAACTGAAATTAATTCAGTTTTATTTCTAAACTTAATTTCAAGTTCATTAAAATTCAAATCTTAAGCTCAAATAAATCCCTCCAATTTTGATTTAGATTCTCAAGTTCATTAAAATATTGATCAGAGAATTTTATTCGTTCTTTTTCTAAGAACATGTTTCTGTACCAGATTCTGAATGGTTTAAATTTTTCTAACATATAGTGACAGATAAACGTCTCTCTAAGGGCTGTATTAAGTCCGTAAATCATTGAAATTGCATTTCGGAGGGAGTCGGGGATCTAAAATTTTGATTGTCCCTTACTGGATGAAATATTCTATTTCGACTGAGGGTTAATCCTGGACTAGAAGCTATATCAGTTTCGTCTGAATTAGATGTTTTAATTTCATCTCCTGACGTTGAAGGAATAGTGATTTTAGGAAGATTTATAGATCTTCTTGGATTAAATCTTACTTCTACATCTCCATCAGATGTTTGGATTATTTGATCTATATCTTGATTGATAATAGGTTTAGGTGTAATTACTTGAGGCAAAATCCATTGATCTGGGAATGTTACTTCATTCCATTTAATTACTCTTTTAGTAGCGATGTTTGAGGCTAATAGATTTGTTTTTATTAGAGTAGTTCTATTATTGGGTTGAACTATTTTTTTAACTCTTGGACTTAAGGTATTCATTACCTTAAAATGGATTCTATAAATCAATGCTATTGTTTCAGATCCAGGAAGAAAGTTGTATCCATGGAGTTGAAGATGTAATTTAATTGCTTCAAATAAATGTACATCAGTTAATGTTAAACTGAGATTTGGAAACGTATTAAAATAAACCGGTCCATGACAAAGACTGGTTTCCATCACTCCCATAAGGGATTGCGCCCAATTAAGGCATCTGCCATCTCTTAGACAAGCTAAGATAGATGCATTAAGTCCTCTTAAAGTTAGAGGTTTGAAGGCGATTTGGATTAAACCAATATGCAAGTATTTGTAATCTTGCATGTATGATTTAAGATCGTCATAAGATAACAGAGAAATAGTCTTCTCTGTTGAATCGATTGTAATAGATTGTTCTACCATTTTAATGGTAGTTTTTCCTTTGAAATCAAAGGTTCCGATTTGATAAATTAAGGTTTTATCTACCTTAGGTAGAGACCATTTATTAAGGTCTTCCTCATTTAGAGGATATTCTATCAATTCAGCATTTTTAATATCACAAAAAGAGGGTATTTTACCCTTATTTAGGATAGATGAAGAAGATGAAGATGCCATTTGTATAAGACTCGATTGGTAAGCTTATGTTTCTACGTATTAATAGAGGAGGCATATTTGAAATGGTTTAGTAAGGAAAGAAACGTACACTATTCATCAGATTGAACAAAAACATGAACTATCCAGGACTGACTACCCATACCAAGGGATACTGCCAAAGTTCAATACTATTATTCAAAGTAAGAAGTGCAGTGTCAGTGACTTTCAATACATAAACTCATCATGTCCTGCCGCCCCGATTAAAGAGTGGAAAAATAAACTTATCAACCTCAGTAACACACTACTCACACATGGCTCTGATACGAACTTGCAGAAATTGAAAAGAGAATAAAAATACTATAAAGTAAGAAAGGCAAATTGTTAAGCAAACTTACAAATTTTATTTCTTCAAGCAAAAGACTTCAATACAAACGATGCCTTACAACCATGGCATACAAACTTATTTATACAACTAGAAACTTAGAGGGGAAGAAAACTTACAATTATTAAAGTTAAGCCAGTACACTTATTAAAGCATAAAGTAAAATAAAGGTACATATAATATTCTCCACTATGCTGGTTGATTACAGCTGGTAGGAGACCATTGTCCTGCTAAGATAATGGAGAATATAAAGAGAATATAACATGTCAAAAGGCAGTACGATTCTGCCTGTAAAGCTCCTTTATTAAAAGTCTTCACCCAACATCGATCATTAGTTTTAGACTTTAAGATAAAGGGACATAAAATAAAAAAATAAAGTAAAACTATATTCTAGGATTAGATGGGGGCATTTAAAGAATATTGACAAAAATATTTTTGAAAGTAGGATTTTAGATCTTGAGATTTTGTATGTGCATGAGGATGTTAATATTATGTGAAAAAAAGTGACTAGTGATATTAAGAATATTGCAAAAGATGTGCTTGAAGTATCGAAGAGAAAAGCTCATAAAATAAAAATAGTTGGTGGTGGAATCCAAATATGTAAGAAAAGATTAAAAATAAGAAAATTTGTTATAAAAATTGGTTTAATTTTTAAAATTATGATAATTGAGAAAGATATAAAGAGACTCGTAAGGAATCTAAGAAAGTAATATATGATGCAAAAATCTTAGCTTTTAGTAATTTATATAATAAATTAGATACCAAGGAGGAAAAAATATATATGTATAAGTTAGCCAAACAAAGAGATATGAGTAGTAAGTATTTAGTTCAAGTGAAATGTGTTAAGGATGAAGATCAAAAAATACTTTTCTTAGAAAATGATATTCAACAAAGGTGGATGAGATATTTTGCTGAACTTTTTAATGAAGATTGTGAAAATAAGATTAAATGTAGTGACCTTAGCACCCTAAATGAAAATAAAGATTTCTGTTTTTATCGGCATATTAGTAAAACTGAAGTTAGAGAGGATTTAAAGAAAATGAAGGGTGGAAAAGTTGTTGAACCTGATGATATTCCAATAGAGGTGTGGAAATGCTTAGGAGATGAAGAAATTTATTGGATTACTAAACTTTTTAATACTATTTTGAAGACTAAAAAGATGCCAAATGAGTGGAGAACGAGTGTGTTAATTCATATTTTTAAGAGTAAAGGTGATGCACAAGATTGTGCAAATTATAGAGAAATTAAGTTAGTGTGTCATACTTTAGAACTATGGGAGTGAGTTATGGAGCATAGGTTGCGGCGCGATACTAATGTTTCTCAAAATCAATTTGGATTCATGCCGGGTAGGTCGACTATAGAAGCCATACATTTATTAAGAGGTTTGATGGAGAAATATAGAGAAAATAAGGAGGATCTACATATGATATTTATTGATTTAGAAAAAGCATATGATAAAGTTCCAAGAGAAGTGCTATGGAGAGTTCTGGAAAAGAAAGGAGTCAATAATGCTTATATTCAAATCGTTAAAGATATGTATGTAGGTGCTATTACTTGTGTTCAAACACAAGGTTGTTTGACCAAGTATTTCCTTATTTCGGTTGGGTTACATCAAGGATCAGCCTTAAGCCCATATCTTTTTGCTTTAGTCATGGATGTTCTCACTAGACATTTGCAAGAGGATGTACCTTGGTGTATGCTTTTTGCTGATGATATTCTTCTTGTTGATAAGACTAGAGAGGGAGTTGAAGGTAAACTTGAATTATGGAGGTCAACCTTAGAGTCTAAAGGTTTTCGCTTGAGTAAGATCTTAAAACCGGAATATATGGAGTGTAATTTAGTAGTAATAGACCTAGTGAGGGG